GGAGGGGCGGAGTCAGGGAAAACACCTGTGGGAAACTGCCTTCTATTGGACCGGAGCACTGGAGGCTCGACCTCCTTCTCCCCCTGCAGAGGACTCATGATGGAAGATGACTACAAACACATAGACAACAGTGAGAAATAGTTCACTTTTCCTTAACAGGTGTTCAGCAGATGCCTTTAAAGTTTGGTTTCAAAGTCCTGTGGCTGCTCTTCTTTATTTTGAGATGAGAACCAAACCACCAGACTCTGATTTAAACTATACTGAGATCCTCCTTTTTCAGTGGCCTTATCTCTGTTTGTTGTTGTGTAGGAGATGACCAGCGTTACTGTGAGGTGGGCTTCAGTGCTGACATCACAAAGGTGAGGGGTGGTAGGGGGAGTCACACTTGTAGGTATCCTCGCTGCCTGACCTCACTCCTCACTCACTTCCTGTCTCTGTTGTAGGAGGGTCGCCTGGTGCTGGGAGCTCCAGGAAGCTTTTCTTTCCAGGGTGAGCAGTGACATCTGCTGGTCACTGACTAGAACGACACCCAGTTAACTAACTACACCTGAATCTATATAAGATAAGATAATCTTTTGTTGTCATTGTAACACGTACAGTGAAATTTTAGAGTGACCTCCAATCGGTGCAGCAATAGAAAAAAAATATAACATATGAAATAAGACCATATAAAAATTTAACCGCTTACAGTCCATGCGATAGCAGGAGCAGTTTTCCTGAGGGGGGCATATGCAGGAATTAGAAACAGGGACAAGTGGTCAGACTGGCCTCCAGGTCTCCAATACTCTAAGTCTGGGGAGCAGTGACTGTCTGCAGTCACTGTTCATACACCAGTTGTTATTGACGTAAATACATAGCCCCCCTCCTTTGTTCTTATCTTATCAAACCCTCCTTTGATAGTCCCTTGTCCTATCATGGCACTGTACTGTGTAGCCTGCTAACTTGATAGCAGAGTCCGGGATAAGTGGATGAAGCCAGGTCTCTGTGATCAGCAGAATGCAACTGTCCATCATGTAATTGGTTGCAACCTGTAGCCTCAAATCATCCATCTTACTAATGAATGCTCTGGCGTTCATCAGAAAAATGCTGGTTAGCGGTGGTCTATGTGGCCACCTCCATAGCCTATCCAACGCTCCGGCTCTGCAGCCTCGCTTTTGCTTCCTCTCCCTGTGGCGCCTACGCCTCCTTGCTGTGGGGACGGTATGGGGGCTCCTCACTATGTCCACTGGTATCTAGTGCAAGTGGAGAGACAAAGCTGTAACTCTCTGCTCGTAGCAAGCTCCTATCTTCAGGAGATCGTGCCGACTGTAGGTGAGGTTCGCCCAGAAAAATGTTCACAGTATGGAAAACAACACGTACACAAAATACCAAACAAAACACAGACTGAAGGAGCACTGAGCTGCAGCAACAGCATACACCTCTATCTTATATACAACAAAACTGAGTGCCCTCAGTCAGTATCACTAAAATGAGAAGTAAATCATGATCATGTCCATTTGCCATAGTATTTTGGCAAAATTTCATCTGTTTTGTGAGCAACTGTTTAGTACTTAGACACTGTCTATAGAGGTTGATGTCCACTGTCTGATTGGTCACTGAACCACAGGAAACACCAGCCAACAAATTTTATGCAAAATTATGTTTCCTCTACAATTTTGGTGAAATCAGTAGATCTTCACATGCTGAACACAAATATGTATGTGTATGTAATTTTTGTATCACGCAGGCTTTTTAAGAAAACTGCAGTTACACATTTAACATTGTAATATCTACAAATGTTTTGCTGTGGATTTTTGCTTGTAGTCATTGTGTGATGCTTCACATGTCAATGTCCAACAGCAGTCTCCCAGCATAGACAGACTCCACTTTGTCTTGGTAAAACCTTTCACCATGTTCGTCACTGACAGCGCCGAGGTTGGCTGGGAAGAAGTCAAAGTGGGGATGAAGGAACTCTATCTTCAGTAACATGTTGCAGTTCGTTGACTTGTATGCCTGGAGCAGACTTTCAACCTGTTCGATGTAGTTTGAAGCCTCGTAGTCGCCCAGAAAGTTAGAAACAACATTCTCGAAGGCCACCTCAGTGACTATCCCTCATCACCTCCTGGATCAGTAGGCCAACAAAAACATCTTTTTTTATCTTGGCATCACTGATGCGTGAAAACATCTGTTGCACGTATGCAAAGGCTTCACTTTGCTTGTTCACTACCTTAACAAAGTTTTTCATTAGCCCAAATTTGATGTGCAAAGGTGGCAGAAATATGTTGCTCGGATCAACCAGTGGGCCATGTGCAACATTCTTCTGCCCTGGAATCAATTTTCAGCGACGTGGCCAGTCCTTTATCACGTAATATGAACGTCTTGCTCGGCTGTCCCACTCGCAAAGAAAACAACAATACTCGGTGTATCCAAGCTGCAGACCAAGTAAAACTGCAACCACCTTCAGATCGCCACATATTTTCCAGTTGTACCTCAAGTACTGAACGTGTTTAAGCAGCAGCTGCATGTTCCCATACATTTCCTTCATATGGATGCCATGTCTGACAGGTATAGAAGGGTACATGTTGCCACTGTGCAGCAAAATAGCCTTCAAACTTAATGATGAGTCAACCAACACGAGTCGCCATTCTGTTGGATCATGTTCACATCCGAGAGCAGATAGCAATCCATTGATGTCACTGCAAAAGGTCAGATTGTCAGTTTGTCTGAAGAATTGAGTCAAATCTTCATGATGACAGCGAAATACTGATATTTTTGTGCCTGGTGACAACAGGTTCCATCTTTGCAACCTTAATCCAAGCAGTTCTTTCTGGTTCTTCAATAAATTCAAATCTCTGACATGATCGTTCAGCTCTGCCTTAGAAATCACATGATGGTCATTGGATGTTGTTGGCTGGAAATCTGCATCATCTGCATTGACTCCTCTGGTTTTGGAACAGGAAGACTTTCGTCAAGTGGCACTGGTCTCATTGATGAGGCAAGGTTCGGGTACTCAAACTTCCAGCTCTTGGAAGAAAATCCTGAAACGTTCATCATGCAGAAGTAACAATCAGTCACATGATACTTCTGCTGCCTCGAAATCATTGGCATGGAGAATGGCACGGATGGATGCACACCCTTCAGCCAAGCTCGCAGACTGGTAGTGCAAGATGCGCAACATAGATGAGGAGCCCATACTTTGTCCTGGTCACTGGTTTTATAAATATAATAATTGTGACCTAAGAAGATCCTGAGCCACTGCCAGGCAGCTAGACCTGAGCGAAACACCCCGATTTAAAATTTTCATAATTTATATTACAAAATTAGCCGTTTCTCAAAAGCCTTGTGTGATGGGAAAATTTTAAACTTATTTCTGTGATCAGTATCATGAAGTCTATCTGGTACACAAGACACTGTGAAGGAAACAAAAACCTTGTAAACCAAAGTGATCCTTGTGCCAGGTCAGAGGCATTTACAGGCTGTTTTTCACAGGTCACTTTTGTTGTGTTGAGGTTGTAGCTACATATTTTCACTGTAGTCTATCTAACCAATTTGTTTTTAATTTTATCATCATCATCATCATCAACTTTATTTATATAGCACATTTAACACAGCCGAAGCTGACCAAAGTGCTTAACACAATATCCACAACACCCCTTAAAAAACAACATAAACGAACAGCAAAACAAAAACATCATACTTAAAACAACCCCCTATCATAAATCACAAGCTCAACAAGACACAGGATCATACTGGTTCGAACGCCAGACGGTACAAATGAGTCTTCAAATAGGTTTTAAAAGTGGACAACGAGGGGGCCTGTCTAATATAAAGGGGCAATGCATTCCACAACTTAGGCGCCCCCACAGAAAAAGCTCTGTCCCCCCTAGATCTCCGCCTAGCCCTCGGTACCTCCAAGAGCAGCTGGTCAGCCGATCTGAGGCACCGGGAGGGGCTATAGTGATGTAGCAATTCTGTAAGATAAAGGGGGGCCAGACCATTTAAAGATTTAAAAACAAATAAAAGAATCTTAAAATGGATTCTAAAACACACCGGCAGCCAATGAAGAGAAGCCAAAATGGGTGTGATGTGGTCACTTTTACGCCCTCCAACCAGTAGACGAGCAGCAGCATTTTGGACTCTCTGAAGGCGGGCAAGGGACGCCTGACTGAGCCCAAAACATAGTGCATTACAGTAATCCACACGAGACATAATAAATACACGTGTTACCGTCTCAAAATGCTGCCGTGAAAGAAAGGGCGTCACCTTTGCCAGCTGCCGGAGGTGATAAAAACTGGCCCGTACAACTGCATTCACCTGACATTCCATTCTAAGAACAGAGTCTATTTTAACATCAAGGTTAGTAACGGTGGACCGCACGTACCGTTCCAAGGAACCGAAATCAACTGGGGGAAAATCACCAGAGTTATTTGGACCAAACACTATGACCTCGGTCTTCGTATCATTCAACTTCAATAAGTTTAAGGTCATCCACTTCCTAACGTCATCAAAACATGACAATAGTGATGCAACTGATGATGTGTCCCTTCCCCACAGCAAACCACAGCTGCTCAACTTTCCTGGGTCTGCCATCAGCACATTGCAAACTTTACAACAGATAAAATATCCTACATTTCAAGTTGAAAAATTATACAGTTATGGACCAGAGGTGTGTTCAGTTTAGCTGTTTACTGTGCATCATAATTAATGATGAATAGTGTAGTGGTTAAAACAAACCCAACTCAACTAGTCTCACATAGACTCCTCTATCAAGAACCATCTGGAACTAGTGTGAATCTGAATCTCAGTCTGTTTGTACCAGTACAAACCAGTGTCATCTATTCTTTACTGGTCTCTCCACCTGACTGAAACAGTCTGAACCAGGTAATGGCTGACATCACTGCACTGATTTCAGGTCAGGTTTTCACAGTAGGTGTGAGTGACATCCTCAACAATGGGCGGAGCAATGAGCCTATCCAGTATGTGGGAGGAATCAGCCATTCAGAGGAAGATAAGGGAGGAGATTATGATGTTTACCACGGTGAGTAGAGCTGAGCAAAGTTTTTATTCTGAAGGGTACACCTGTGGAAGCCTTACCTGAATAAGCAAAAGTCATTTAAATAGTCAGGCCTGCAGTTCTATCAGCTGAAAAAACTTAGAAAAATCAACTGGACTAGGTTTCTAGGTCAAAGACGTTTCACCTCTCATCCAAGAGGCTTCATCAGTCTGAAGCCTCTTGGATGAGAGGTGAAACGTCTTTGACCTAGAAACCTAGTCCAGTTGATTTTTCTAAGTTTTTTCAGCTTACTATGACCTGGATGACTGAGAATCTGTATGGACAGTTCTATCAGCTGTTCCTATATTTTCCAGAATTCAGTGGGAACACTGTGTTTCTCTCAGTGACACTGGGACTGTCTGACCGAGAGCAAACCACAGCTGCTCAACTTTCCTGGGTCTGCCATTAGCACATTGCAAACTTTGCTTGATTCATCTTAAGCTTTTCAAACATGATTGATGAGTGTGACAAAAGTTGATAAGAGGAGAACATGATTCTCTAAAATCTGACAGAAAATGACTGGAGTTCTGTATGTGTCAGGTTACTCTGTGGCCAGTGGTCTGCTGACTGGAGACTCGATACCAGGTTAATGCAATAGAAAACTACTAATCAATACACCTGATTCATTTGTATGTTGACATTTGATGACATACAGAATCAAACCACTAACATCAATGCAACTGATATCCATTACCTGATCAATAATCAGTGACTGTGTGTTTGTGTTTCAGATTATCTTGTTGGTGTTCCACATGACAGAAACACAGCAGGAACAGTAAGATTTTATTTCACTCCACTGTACCCTGAGATGATTTACTGTACTCTCATTGCATTCTGCTGGACTCTGTTTTCTCTGCATATCAGTTACTTTGACACCCCATGGAGGTGTGGTCTGTGGTTTGATAATGTGACTGTGCTGTCTTGTAGTAGTCACAGATATGTTGCTGAATAGGGAAATTTTTTGCATCCTTTATTCATGCTTCTTTTAATTTGAAAAGTTATGATTGCTGAGTTATTCTGCTCCACAGTACAGGGATGTAATAAATCCTCTGGGTTCTGCTGAGCTCTCGCTTCAGTCTGTCTGTGTTAACAGGTGAAGGTCTATGATGGCAGGAGCATTAAAACGCTCAGAGTTTCCCACATCTTCCTGGGAGCTCAGGTGAGAGCATGATTTCAGCACAAAGCTACGTGTTGTGGAAGTGTTGTGCTTACTAGATGGGACCTTCCTGAACCTGGACCTGTGTCTCCTGTAGGTGGCATCATACTTTGGACACAGTGTGGCTGTCTCTGACATCAACAGTGATGGGTGAGAACAGATCAAATTCCTAAAGCCTAATATCTCATAACTGACTGTCTTATGATGTGAAACCTCTGTCGGCGTGCAGTTTAGATGATGTGCTGATCGGAGCTCCTCTCTACATGGACCGAGTGACAGAGCAGCTGCAGGAGCGAGGACAGGTCTGAGAATATCAGTAAAGTCCCCTCACAGTCTGGTGACCTTATTTTTCCATTTCAACCAAATGTGTCTTTAGTTCAAATTTGCGGATTCTGTTACAACTCTGTTTAACGTGTTCACTGTCCATCACCCAAATTACTGTCGGCATGTTTACGAGTACTGGATCACAGCTTTCTTCCACCGCTGTACATTACTCTTCCAGGTGGTAGTGTACCTGCAGAGAAGACACACCTCCTTCTCCTCTCAGCCTGACCAGTCACTGATTGGCTTCTCCCTGTATGGGCGGTTTGGCTCTGCGCTCACTGTGCTGGGTGACATGGACATGGACGGTTACCATGGTAACCAGTTATAGTCATAAATTCTAGCTGCTGTTTAGTGATGAGAAATCCAGAATGGCTGACAAGCTGCTAACAGTTATGGTAGCTACAAGATGCTAATGGCAGTAGCTAACACCACCAGCTAACTGAAACAAAACTCAGACATGGGGGTATTCTTTGTACATCACTAAACATATCCAAGATCAAATTGGTTATTCTGAATTTTCTAAAGCCAGCTGAAGTTATCCACATGTTTCGGTCCTTCAACCCCCACCTGAGTTGTGGATTGAACAAATTATTATCCAGCTAACCAGTTAATCCACATACACAGAACACTCCCCATATCAGTATCAACTATCAACCTTGTTACTGTTTCTGTCCAGATGTGGCCATTGGAGCCCCCTGGTCAGGTGACAGTGGGCAGGGCCAAGTGTTTATCTACCTGGGCAACAGTAATGGTTTGTCAGCCACACCCTCCCAGGTGATTGATAGCCCATTGCCCAGCAGCAGGACAGCATTTGGCTTTACTCTGAGGGGTGGAGCTGACATTGATGGCAACGGATACCCAGGTGCGCTCTGAGGGTTCAAAGGTCATTCATTCATATTAGTGCTTATTAGTTACCAATAATCAGGGTAACCTCCTGTCTGTCTGCTCTTGTAGACCTGCTGGTTGGAGCGTGGGCTGCAGACCAAGCCTTTGTCTACAGGTATGATGTCAGTAGCCCTCAGAAGTCGATGATCACGCATGTTGATGTTGTATGTCAAAGTGTACAAATAATTGTCAGGTAAAATAAATGAGGTTGTCCTGAAGAAAATTATACCAAACAGTGCTGTATAAAGGTAAATTCAAAACTAATAAACATTGCCCAAAATTGTCAAAAATATTACCAGACTCCTGGGTGTCATCTAGTTCACAGGTTTCCTGGGCTAGTGAGTCCTCATCTTTGATCGCATATATCTACTGGTTGGCAGCAATTAACCAAAAGAGAAATAAAATTTTGAGGAAATTCAGGCCATATCAGTATAATTTTGTGTTTTATTCTGTGAACCCTTCCAGGGACATAATCCCCAGATTGGGAGCCACTAATGTAGATGCCTGTCAAGAGACTAAAGGGATGAATATTTGTTGAAGATAGATCACACTATGCTCTTGGGATGAATAAAGTTATCTCTCTATCTTGAACTAAGTGACTGTCCCCACATCAGCAGCCTGCTCTGGATTCTCAATGCTTTAACGCTCCAAACCCACATGATTAAAATGTAACTTTGCAATTAAATGTGTGTGGTCAGGTCCTGGGCAGTGATCCGGTCCACAGTTTCTCTGTCTCTGCTGCCAGACTTCCTGAATCCAGAAGTAAAACTGTGTCATCGAGGAAACACAACTGTGTGCTGGTAACTAAATAACAATGAACTTACTAATAACGTGAGCCTTTAAAAAATTAAAGACTGCATCACTAAAATATATTAGTTGCCTAATTATCACTAAAATTACAGAAAAGTAATTCCTTTGGATGAATGAAATATTTAGCAATTCATCAAAATTAAATAAAAAACTCTGAGTTCTGGGGTTATTACCTGAAAGAGCTCTATGGCTCTAAAGTTCCACACTTTTTTGAAAAACTTTTATTAAATTACACATCACTAACAGGTTTCGAGCTGCTCAGCACAATATTAATAAATGACACTGTGACATTTCTGAGTGCATGATATAGTTATAATTTTAAATTTGAATGATGTAGTGGATAGATTTACATGATCAGCATTAGAGCACTCAGCTGGAATGGCAGTAAACAAGCAATGGTTTCAGGCACAGCTAAGGACTCTTAGGTTCCTAAAGAGATTCCAGGTGTTGCTACAAAGATTCATATATTATGTAAAGACATACCAGGAGGTCTTCGAGTGACTTCTCTGGTTCAGGTGTCTTTGACCTTGGTAAGGTCCTAGTTTTTTATTTGTTTTCTTTCTTTACTGCTTTTTTGTTTGTTTGTTGAAGAGATTCCAGGTGATTCATTGGTATGTTCAAAGTTTAAATTTACAAATGCTCTCTCTCGCTCTGTCTCCTTAGTTTTGTTATCCAGATGTGTCTCTACGTATCTGGTCACAGAATTCCACAGGAGACAGGTAAACATAACCAGAGACAGGTATTGTCCTTGGGGGGTGGCTGTGATTCAGGAGGTAAGGGGGGGTCACCCTCTAAGTGTAGGGTTGGTGGTTTGATTCCCAGCTTCCCCAGTCCACATGTTGAAGAGTCCTTGAGCAAGGCGTTGAGCGCCTAGGTCACTGTTGTGTGAATGTGTGAGTGTATGTGTGTGTGAATGGGAAATAGTGTAGAGTGCTTTGAGTGTGCATTAATGCCCAGAAAAGCGCTATGTAAGTGTCAGACCATATGCTGTTGTCTACACAGATGTTTGTTGACAGTGACCTCAGTTTTCCTTCTGCCTTCTTATTGGCTGAGGCAGCACTGGGGGTGGAACTACAGCTGGACAGGATGAAGCAGCCAACGGCGAGAAGGACCCTGCTGCTGTCAACCAGTCAGCCACAGGAGACGATGATGTTGATGGTTCAGAGAGACGAGGGCATGGCCTGTGTCAATCAGACCGCTTACCTGAGGGTGAGTAACAGGAAAAAAACATGAAGAAGAGAAACAGGTGAACAGCATGACACAGGTGTGTGTTTGCAGTCTGAAGAGGAGGTCCGTGATAAATTGAGTCCAATCTTCATCTCCGCCAACATCAGCCTCCTCAATACTACCCAGCATGCTTTGCTGCATGGACAGACACATGCTGCTGCACAGGTGAGTCTGAGGCACATTGTTATACTTTGTCCTATAGTTGTGAGGACCCTCATTCAGTGTGGGACCTGCAGGTCAATAACCAGGTTGGGTTTCTGCAGTGATCTGATTTCTTAAACATCACGTAAACAATAAACCAGGTTTCTGTGATCATGGAGAGATGACAGTAGAGATCATTAGATATAGAAATGTAGCCTCATATTCAGATTTGACCAAATCAAATTTGTATGTTACTTAAAAACAGCAACATGTTGACCAAAGTATAGACAAAGCATAAACAAACTGAGAGACAAAAAAACACAGCAAGTGGAGAGTACGGAGGCTCCACTATGATCCAAAAGCCAGAGTGAATAGATGGGGTTTTAAGAGTGATTTTAAAACTGCCAAGCCTGTGACCAATCTGATATTAATAGGTAAAGTATTCCACAGCTACAGCAAATGCTCTGTGCCCCCAGTGCCTGCACCTGGACCTGGACCTTGGAACCCAGAAAAATGATTGGGTAGATGACCTGAGGGTTCTTTCAGGCTTGTAAAAATGCAAAAGCTCAGTAAGATAAGGCAGGGCTAAATTATTTAGTGCTTTAAAAACAAATAACATACTGGTAGCCAGTGAAGAGAATGGGGGTTATGTGATCATGTCTGCATTAGCTGGAGAAGTGAAAGAGATTAACTCCAACATAAAGTGCATTAAAATAATCTAGCCTAGAAGTGACAAAGGTGTTAACTGCCTTTTCAAATCAATAACAGAAATGAAGGGCTTTACTTTAGTTAACAGTCTAAGCTGAAAAGTACAAAGTTCAGATAAAACTAAATGTGTTCATATGTTAGCATTTGAATACTTAATGCATAAACCTGATTCTGAACTTGACCCTAAATTCAAGTCTGAACCCTGAAACAGATATTTGAACCACAATAAATTCCCATGGTTTAAATCTCACACTGGTCCTTATAAGAATAGGACATACACAAAGCCAAACAATCAAATTTATTTAAACAACGTGTTACTGTGGGCACCAAACACTTCTCACACTGTGGGGACTTGGCCTCATTGTGGTCCTTATGGTGTAAATCACAGAATTTTAGGGCGGTGACTTGGTTTAAGGTTAGGGTCAGTCTCCAGGAAAGAGATGGATGTCAGTGCAATGTTCCCACAAGGAATGAAAACAAATGTGTGTGCAGACCAGGATCGTTCTGGACTGTGGAGACGACAACATCTGTGTCCCTGACCTGAAGCTGAGCGCCGAGCTGTGAGTATATACAGTCTGTAAGCTTGATTCACAAAAAACCCTGTCATGAAATGTAAACTTCATTAACATTCACAAACCCTGTCATCATCTGTAACATTTATTGACTATAAACTTTGTTACGGCAAGCCGCACACCAACAGAGCGGCTGGACTCAGGAATAGGCAGGACTCAAACCCAGGTCAGAAAAAGACATTTATTTGACGGGAGCGGAGCTGCCGGTGTGGGTCTCGGGCGATTGGGGCCGCTGAAATGACTAGACCACTGGAGGAGCCGCCCGGGGTCGGGGGAGAGGTTTGGCACTGCGTATAGAGCAAAGAAGGAGATTAGGAGAGGGGACAACAGGCGGACAGGGTGTGATGATGTAGAGCACAACGTAGGTGACCTGTGTATAGGGGGATGCTGGCTCCGGGCAGGAGAGCGTGCTTGGATCCCAGCGCCGAGGTATGCAGACAGGAGCAAGCGCCCATGTTTCGCTGGCCCAGGCAATTGACACGGACCCCAAACAACGATCGTCGATCGGCAGCAAGGCCCACAGAGATATAGGTGGCACCAGGTAGCAGTCCAAAAATAAAACAAAGCACTCCTCCGTAATCAGTTTAGAAAAAACATAAGATACTCCTCAGTAGTCAGTTCAAAATAACAGAAGATACTCCTCGGTAATTAGTTCAGAAAAAACAGAAGATACTCCTCGGTAAGCCGTTCAAAAAAACGTAAAGAAAACTCACTCAGGTCGACACAGTGGATAACATCAATATACCAGAGTAGGTCAATATCAGTGGACATCAGGATCCAGGATCCAGGATCCTGGATCCAGGACGTGAAACACGCGAAGTCGCTGACAGAAGACTGAGAGATCATCTGGTGACGAGGACACACCAGCGCTGTGCTTAAGTATGGTTCTGCTAATTGAGCGCAGGTGTGCCTCGCCGCCGGGAGCGTGCTCCTACGTAAGCAGGGGTGGAGTCGCCGGTAGCCCAGGTATCAGCTGCCGAGGTGCCGGGGACGGCCTGAGCCGTGGACGTAACATTTATTAACTCTTGGCTGGCGACCTTCTGCCTTGACCGGTTGGGGTGAGTGGATAGAGGAGAGACAAAAGAAGAAAAGCACCAGGACACAACAAACAATCAAACACTGATGGCCAGGGCAACCTGCAGAAAGGTACAGGGAGAGAGAGAGAGGACACACTACGGGAGAGAGGAGACACAAAGTTAGGAATGTGTAATGGTGGCATATAGAAGCATAGGGAGAGAGAGGAGAGGAGAGGAGGGGGGAGGAGAGGGAGGAGAGAGATCACTGCACTCTCAGTATGCAGGACTTTTGGCTGTTCCAGGAGCGAATAAGAACTTGGCTTATTGTTTTTTCCTACCACGATTCCTTCCTCTGGAATGCCCAGACATTAGAAAATATGAAATTGTACAGAATAGAAACAAATATAAAAAAGCCTGGAAAAATACAGTAGGATTTGATACATCACCTGTGAATTCTGTAGACTTTAAGGTAGAGCAGAGTAGCATAAACATGAGTAAGATAGAGTGACTAGAGTGATAACAGGTCACCAACAAAGTATAAGTATGAAATAAAATATGGTGGAGTAGATTAGAAGAGGACAGAGTAGAGTAAAGCGTCATCTGCTTCTACTGGAATCTACTGATTTACTTGTGTTAGTGTGTCAGACAGTGTGCTGGTCGGCGAGGACCAGTCAGTGATGTTGTATGTGTTGGCGTTGAACGATGGTGAGGGGGCGTATGAGACTGAGCTGGTGGTCCAAATTCCCAAAAACACACACTTCCAAAGAAGCCAGGTGAAAACACACACACACACGCACACACACACGCACACACACAGATCATGGTTAATCTAATCTCGGTTCAATGTGTTTTACCTGCAGGGTCTGAATAGACTGGTGTGTAAGGAGAACCAGAGCATCATCGTCACCTGTGTCCTCGGAAACCCCATGAGGCAAGGACACAAAGTAAGACACACACTTCAAATCTCTCACTGCAGTGGAACATTATTAAACTGTCTAGTAAAAATATTTCTAATAATGTAAAAGAACACTGGGCATCTTTGCATCGTCCTTGAGTCGCCAGTTTGGGAACCTTGAATTTAGGGGGTATGTTTTTTATTTATATTTGCTGTTGCAGATTTAAAAAAACAATGTGTAACAATGCTGCAGAAAACAATAGCGTAGCTGACTAATCAGTGATGTTCAGCCCTGCAAGCCACACCTTGACACTTCCTGTCCTCGAGCAGGAGCTTCTCTGTCCCCGAATTTTAATGTAGACCCAGGTGCCTCTAGTGAAAACACAAGTTGGGGACCTGAGGCTCCTGAAAGCTTTCTGTTAATTGTGGGGGAAACGTCTATACTGAGACTGCCTGTTTGTCTGCCTGTCTGCCAATCTGTCTGTCTGAAGCTGCAGACAGGTCTTCTGTTTAGTGTGGGCCATCTGGAGGAGGTGGAGAGTCACATCACCTTCATCCTCAGAATCAGGAGGTATAAACTCTCTGCATTTTTGCCTGAAATCAGAGATAATTTTAGCGGAAGAACAACTAATGTCTGTGCCTGTTTATTGTTTGTCTGTCTCTCTTCGTCTGTCAGTAAGAACTTGGTGAATCCCAGCAGTAACGAGGTCTCAGTGAAGGTCCAGGTGAAAGCTAAGGCGATGCTGGAGATCAGAGGGTAAAAAAAAAGACATGACTAGTAAATGTTAGTAAAATCAGTCAGTCTGTGTCTCTGTTCATGATGCAGTTTGTGTTTTTAGAGGCTCCTCCCCTACAGAAGTTGTCCTGCCCCTCCCTGACTGGCAACCTGCAATGCATCCTGGGAGTTTAGAGGCAGTGGGTCCATTGGTAGAGCATGTTTATGAGGTGAGATGGTGTCTGGGGATGTCTTAGAGCTTCTGCTAAAAGGCTATGAGGAATTTAAAGAGTTATTTCATACCGAAGCTAAAACAGCAGCAGCTGTGAAAATGTAGAGGTGGAAGGAAAACAGTGTCTCACACATTAAATGCAAATGTCTCATTTAAATGCTTAATGTGGCCATGGCTGCATATCAACTGCTTTGATATGACATTTACAGCTGGAAAAAAAAAACTTAGAAAAAAACCAACTGGACTAGATTTCTAGGTTGAAGACGTTTCACCTCTCATCCAAGAGGCTTCATCAGTTCTGCCTGACTGGTGTTGAGCTGCAGATATTTATCCCCCTCGGTGGTGTTTCAGTCCTTTGAAGGCCAACAATGTCCCCTAATGACAATTTACAGTTTAACAACTTACCATTCACCATTTTGATAATGTTTATGATATTGAGAATATTAATATTGATGATGGTGTTGATGTTTTTGTGTAGCTGAGGAACCATGGCCCGAGTGTGGTCAATGCTCGGCTGATGGTGGACTTCCCATCCATTTGGCAACATCACTTCCTGCTCTACATCTTCTCCAATGCTTCTGAAGAATCATTGAGCTGTTGGACCCTGAACACATCACAGATAGACCCCTTCAAGGTCTAAAACCTGACTCTGTCTCTGTTAGCTGTTTGACTCTCACCTGTCTGTCCATTTCCGTTCAATAAGCTTTATTGGCATGACTGCTTACATACATAGTACTGCCAAAGCATTAGTATTCCAGTTACGAATATATAAATACATTTTCAAGTATCACAGTTAATTAAAAAAAGACAAATTATTTATATAATTAGTTAAGTAATTGTTTTAGAAAAAAGAGTATAGAAAAATATAGCAATAATATATGTTGGGGAAAAAGTCTGTCTCGCACTTAACTCTCACTTGTCTGTCTCTCAACAGCTGGTTAGCGCCTCCTCCAGTATTTCTGTAGTGTCTCCATTGATCCAGCAGGAGGAGACAAACTCACACAGACAAACTGTTCATGTGGTAAA